AGCCAGGCTATGGAGGATGTCATTTAATCAGAAACAAAGGCAAATGGTGCGAGCACAAACAATCGCAGGTTGATACTGTTCACCAAACAGGAAAAAACAAAAGACACGAATGCCCTTTTAGCACAGTTGGTTTGTTAGAGAAGTAAAGGCGATTTGGAAAAGTGTAAGAATATGCTGAATGTGACAAAGTATAACTTTGTTTGGCTGTGAACACGCAGCTTAATCTTCACAAAGACAACAGGAGGCAATTTAAAGTTTAGCCGGGCCGTTTCTGTCTGATGCACTTGGAATTTACTGACGCTGTTTACTCGATCTTAGGAAGAATGATTCTTTCCTTTGTGTTTAATGTTTAATCCTGATTACAAAGAGCTGCAGAGGAGTTCAGGTCTATCAGTGAATCTTTTACTTTTTATTTGGTTACCTAACTTCCTAACAGCCTTAAAGCAAACTGGGAACTAAAACAAAGATTACAGAGCATTTTTTTGAAGTATTTAAATGAGTGGCTTTTCCTACTTTACATGTGATCCTGATAATTGGACAGTCGCCTCAGCCGGCAGCTTGAAACCTCCATTGTGCTGCGTTTCACGCACATTACTGCTGAGTTCTGGTTCTTGGCTGCGCTGAGGCTTAGGGCTACAGTGATGGGTGGAATTGTTTGAGATTTGCCATGTGGTCCAATTGTTCTGCTGTAAAGGATCTTTGATTAAAGACCAACAGTGGGCTGGGTCTGTCTGCCTAGGAAGTGGTGCAAAATGGTTGCCTTGTCTATAGGGGGCCAGTACCCTCTGCTATTTTGGGAGATGTTTATAGTCTGTTGTTTGACTCTCGCTGGCCAGGAATGTCACTGTGTGAACAATACAAGACCTGAGTTGTAGGTGTCGAGTTGACGTTGTCATGGGGCATGATTCAAAACGACCACCATTGATGAGCCCCCCTAGAAAACTAAGGAACACTTAGTGTATGGTCCACTTCTGAGCTTCACTTGACACTTCCCAATTCATCAATACATACTTTGTTTGTATTTTAAATCAACATTAGGGTGCATTAATATATCATATGTGCCATGTGATTATCGCCAAATGCTTTTATAGCATAGCAGACACATTAGTCTCAGAATATTAGCTGTTTATATGACTTTGCTATAATTCTTTGTACGATTACTTTGACATGTTCTTATTTTCCAGTGGGATTTTGAAGCAGCAAATGCACACTGGAGCAAAGCAACAGCAAAACAACAGGAGGGTGACGAGTTTCCCCTGCAAGAGTGGCCGACAAACCCCGAACCGTTTAACATCTGCGCCCGTTCCCCGTCTGGACTCGCACAGAAAGCTCTATCTAGTACGGAAGAGTGTGGCTCTGTTGTAAGCGTAGCTAAGTAAAGTTCACACATGCTGAGTGCAGTAATTTGTGAATAAAAGTGCAAAAATAAATCTGTCATCTGTCTTGTTTTACAACAAAAACTACTCTGTTTTTGGTTTAAAGTTATTTCGAGTACCTTTTTGTTTCTAACACTGTAGCGAAGCACAAACGTCAAACTCCTGAAGACGTTCTGTCTTTTAGAAAGGTTTACAGAAAAGACCTTCCCTAATAAAACACTATTACTCCCCTGCTGCCATTCAAGGTTACTGGGTCATATCCTGTATTTTGCTTGTCGACCTGGGTTATCGGGGCTGGACTGGGAAAAGAGCCGGCAGAGCAGATAAGAACCAGACTAGACGCCCAGAGCTTGTCTGTCCTCTCCATCATTCAGCAGACCTCCGTCCATCTGCCTGCTGTGAAGCTTCAGAAAATAAAAGTTACTAGAGGCAGTTTTAACTAAAGGGACTTCCTAAGACCTGATTATGGAACAATTACATTTTTACTCCTCCCTGTTACATTTCCTCAAGTGACAGGGCTCAGACTAATGACTGGGAAACAACTAATGAGATGTAACAAAGCTATTGCTGATATCAGCAGTGGATATTAATGTCCTTAACAACGGCTCTGTCTGTGGAAATGGCTGGGAAATGTTTATTGAATTTTATTTGATCTGACAGTGTTGATGTTCAGGCCATGTGATTTATCTACTTTGTTGTTTGTTTTTTAATAATAATGAAGGTAATAATATTGTAAACAACCCTATTGCTGGGCTATACTGATGCTAGTATTCATGATTACACAAGTGCTAAATATGCTAATGCTAAATATACACTCACTGGCTAACTTATTAGGTACACTTTGCTTGTGCTTTTGCTTTAATTCTTTGTGGCAAAGATTCAACAAGGTGCTGAAAACATTGATCAGACATTTTGATCCATGCGATGACATCATACAGTTGCTGCACATTTGTCAGCTGTACATCAATGATGAGAGTCTCCCACTCCACCACATCCCAAAAGTGGATTAACTGTGGAGGCCACTTGAGGACAGCATATTTTATGTCACGTTTTAAGAAACCAGCTTGGCAGGATCTGAGCTTTTTGGCATGGTACCTTATCCAGCTGGAAGCATCCACTAAAAGATTGGTACAGTTGATCACAAAGGGATGGGTATGTAAGCAACAGTATTCAGGTAGGCTGTGATGTTTAAACAATGCTCAGTTGGTATTAATGGTCCCAAAATGTGCCACACCATTACTCCCAGCCCACCAGCCTAAACCACTGATGTAAGGTACGTTTTTCCACTCTCCTATTGCCCATGACAATTCTAGACTCAGTTTCCTCATGCTAGCTGACAGGAGGAGAACCTGGTGTGGTCCTCTGCTGCTGTAGCTCATCTACTTAAAGGTTCAGCGATACCTTGGTTTTAACAAGTGGTTACTTGAGGTAAAGTTGCCTTACTTTCAGCTTAAAACACCCTGGCCACTCTCCTCTTGCTTCTGGCATGAACAAGTCATTTTCATCTGCAGAGCTGGCTATTTTCTCTTTTTCAGACTATTCTCTGTGAACCATGGAGATTGTTGTGGGGGAAAGTGCCCCCCCCAATCATTCCAGAATTTCTACAAATGCTCAGACCAGCTCATCTTGCAGCAACAACTGTGCCACGTTTGAAGTCACTTAAATTCTTTTATCTCCATTCTGTTGCTCAGTTTGAACTCAAGCAGGTTGTCTTGACTGTGTCTACATGCCTACATGCATTGAGTTGCTGCCATGTGATTGGCTGATTAACAATGAGTTAAGCAGGTGTGCTTAAGAAGATGGTTAATGCATTTATATATCTGCAATAGATTTGTCTTAACTACATTTGAAAAGTGAATGCACAAAAGCTTATCTAATGTTGATGAATATGGAGATATTCCATGTATGTAGCTGTATAAGTCTTCAGATCAGTCATTACAACCATAGTAACAGATTGACTGCTGCCCTAATAGGCTAAGGCTATATTGAAAAAAATATGTCCTGAACCTTTCTGTTGGAGACTTGGCAATTAAAGCTTTTTACCATCTTAAAAATAGACCCAAAGACAAATTGTCATTTAGGGGTCTGATGCCATTACAAACCCTGAGCTAGCATGGCTTGATCTGGGCCTCATGTCAGTCCCTTCTGAGGCCAAAAGAAAACAATCCGTGTGTCCCATATAAAAAGGTGGAATTTTGTTTGCAAAAGTGATGAAGAGCCTGGATTAGCACATCTGAAGCCGCAGTGGGGAGAGGATCTTTCTGTTTTTCTTGGCCCTTTGTCAGCGACCACTCCACTGCAGAGCATGCAAGGCACTGGATGATT